ACACATGGACACACAGACACCACACCCAGATCCATCCCTCAGGATGCTGGCCCTGCTCGCGGCGCGGGGACAGCCATGCTCACACGGCGGGGACAAGAAGCAGCAGCAGCAGCAGCAGCACAAAAGCAGCCCAGGGGACACGGCGGGGGCACGGGCAGCAAGGGAGCACAGCTTGGCAGGGCACATCCTCGGGGCTGGCCATGCACCAGTGCCCTGTTTCCTGGGGAATTGCCTTGATTCTCTCTCCCATGTGAGATACACAACCAGAGGCACAAGGGCTCCGTTTCCATCCCTACTCTGGGCAAGCAGAGAACGGAATCTGAACCCAAGAGAATCCATCAGGTTTTCTTGTCAGGACCACAGGATGCTCCAGAGGCCACACAAAGCCTTGGGCACTTTGAGGTCATGTTCTGTGGTCTTTCCCTCATGTCCACATGGAATTATCGCCATCCTTTCCTCACCAGCTTTCCTCCTGGACGTCCTTTCCTCTCTCAGAGAGGCCCTGGTGCTCTGTGCTCCCAGGGGAGTGGATGGGAGCCATCCTCTCTTCCTGGGGCAGAGGGAGCTTTGCCGAGCCCACAGAGGAGACTGGCAGGACTGAAATAAAATCCACCTCTGCAGGGAACAAAGCTACGGAGATGTCCTGGTGCCAGCAGCAGCTTGGGAATGGCAGGATCAAGCAGGAACGCTGTGTTCAGGGTCTTTTATTCTGCTCTACCCATTGTCTGCTCCTGGCACTGGAGCCTTTTTCTAGCGTTGTCCCCTCGCTGGCAGAGCGGATTCTGTGCCATGAGCCCGGAACGGGGCAGGGTGCAGTTCCTGAATAGCTGGGACTGAGGGAAAACACGACCCCATGGCCTAATTCCCAGCACATGCTGGTGGCTCAGGGACTCCAGTGTGCCACCAGGCAAGCACAAATCCCTCCTCGGTGGGAATTCTGTCCATGGATTTTCCCCAGTTTTGTGGGGTGGGGAGGAGGCAGGCCCCCACCTCGGGGTGCACAAAGGGTGCTCGGGATTTCTGATCCCTCCTCCACCCAAAATGCACTTTTGTGCCTCTGAGACCCTGGAATGTGACAACATTCCCAAGGATGAAGAGGATGGCCATGCTCTCTCTGGTATCAGGGTATCCTGGTCACACCATGTAAAGCTCTGTGCAGCTGCTGGGTTTTCCTGAGCTTTGGCCCATCCTGGTTATTCCAGGCCACCAGACTGTGCTTCCCAGGCAGGGAAGTGGGTGCTTGGGCATTCACAGCCCTCACATCCTCCTGGCTCCCCCCTTTCTGCAGCTTTGCCTCTTTCTGGCACCCCCTCATCAGCAGCCTCAGGGTGTTTTCCTCCTCAGTGAGGAACCCAGGGCAGGAAAAGTTGGATCCCTTTGGTTTCTTGGGGGGCACCGTTGGGGTTTTACACCAGGACACCCTCAGAGATACCAGGTTGGCTCCTCTGGGAAGAGGCACAAATTGGTGCTGCTGCTAATTACTTGTGTCTCCCTCTCTCCCCACCTAGGGCAGGATCTCATCCTGCCACAGAGCTCCTCCAAACCTTACTGGGGGATTCCAGCAGAGCTCTGGGGCACTTTGGGGACAACACAAATGCAGCAGCCTCAGCCAGCAGTGCTTCCATCTCCTGCAGGAGATGGGCAGAAGTTCCTCACCCTCTGCAAACCTGGGAGCTCCCAGCAGAGGCTGAGCCAGCCCCCAGCACATTTTTTATGCCAGCCTGGTTTTTATCCCCAACCTGGTTTGGTTTTCCTGTGTCTTCCACTTGCGTCAGTGCAGGGAGAGCAGGGATGGATGATGCAGCACAGGAGAAGTCTTGGAAGGG